TGATGTTTTAATAGCACCGAATTAGGGTTTAATTAAAATAAATGCTTTGAAATGCCGTAGAATCATCAAAAAAGTCTGTTAATAAGTACTGGTGTTATAATGTTGGTGATATCGAAGTAGTTAGTTGTGTTTAATAGACTGTTTTAATTATATGGTCCTTTGGTACGTAATAATGTTAAATAAATAGAATCATTATATTATGCAAGTGATTATTTAAATTCTGTTTTGCTTTGTAATTAATACTGATGTGATGATGAACCTAAACAATATTTGGTGTTTTAATTAACTGTTTACAAACACGAATCTAACTGCAAAATACGTAATCAATTAATCATATGTTTGATTTATGATTATTAATTGATTATGAAACTACAACACATGCTGTAACTGTTGCTGAATTAGGTCATTATTTCAGTAATTTGTTTTGAAATTAACATGTGCACTTATTGTTGTCCATCAAAGTAAGTTGGTTAATTAACCTTGCTTGATTATATTTATCTTTATTTATTTTCATACTTAATTAGTGTGATTTAAACATTTGACTATGAAAAAATGAAATAAAATTATAATTATTCTTAAACAGTATGATTTAACCCTATATAAAACCTTTAGGTAATATCAATAATCCTCAGATACTTCTGACACTTCAGAATAGACTAGTCCTCCAATCAGTCAATTAAAGTTAAAACATTCGTACTAAACTGTAGAGTCCTCGACTCCTATCTAAAACACACTTTTCCTCTCATAAAAGGCGATTAAAAACCACTCAAAAGCGGGTGAAAGCTGTGTATTACCATGTGGGTGATTAAATCGTTCACCAGCTCATGTAAACGTCGTGTCTGGGTGAAAATGTACCTATGATGTGTAATGTCAATATCATGTAACTTTACATGTATTGTGTATTTATAAATTACTGTAGCTAGTTTGTAAATATTAGTTGTAAGATATTTTTAAAATAAAAGTTCATTAAGTTAATATTTTACTGCAGTGTTTTGTACTGCGGAGGACTTAACGGGTTGCCGGGGCTCCGGCTCGAAGTGTAGGAGTAGAAACGGGGTGGTTATTGGTCAGTAAGAGTCTGACGTTTCCTCCCGCCTCACCCAGGTGGGAGAAGTCATTAGATGATATTCCCCCCTTAAAAAACCTGCCCGGTGCCTAGCACTACTACACTATATTGTTAGTCTTCTTTTTCATATCCCGAGCTATTTGGATCGGTACAATATTTCTTATTTTTCCATTCTTCCCAATCCAAGTTCTTTATTATAGATACTACTACTTTAATTGAAATAAAAACGCAATAATCAACAAGTAAAACATACAGCCATGTCATTTAAAAACATCACTGACGGCAAAAGGACCACTCTCGCAGAACAAAGGACCAAAAACTAAAACAAACTATTTTCACCACACAAATTGCTCCGATTATTTTCTACATACATACGATTAGCCATAATACAAATCGGAGTGATACACTAAGTATAGACATTAATACGTGTTGACAGAAGATAAACGGATGGCCAGCTATTGGCAGCACTCAAGTCTAATAGCAGCAATTATGTAGTGGGTAAAAAGTTGATATGTTTAATGGCTGATTCACATACCAGTCTTCTGTAACATTGAGGATATTTATTTAAAGGTAGCATGTAGGTTTTAGCCAGAATTTTTGAAACAATTTGTTCGTGTTTCCGTATTGGTGTTTGGTACCTAATAGGTTTTTGCTTTACCTACATTTTATTTTGGTGGTTATTATTTAGCAATAGGCTCACCCCTTATTACAAGGGAGTCATAACATAAATAGTGAAATGTGGATGTAACATGGTACAGTGGCATTAAGTGCATCTCTGCCTACCCATCCGGGGTTAAAAGGCGTGATTTTATGTTATATTATTTAGTAGTGTGCTTGGTTTGACCTGGATGGTAAAATTGTTCCAATTTATATTGTTTATTTTTGGGAATGTTAATCATGCAGTTCACCTCGTAGGAGGTATTACGAGTATGACTATCATATTAAGTAGACTTAATTTAGGGCTTTCAGTAATTTTACTTCGGTACAATTAATTGTCATTTCTGACTTAAGGGGAAACATTAGTTCGGCAGTAGACTTTTCCGGCTGATCTTATTTTGCTCACCAAATGGCTTAAATGTAGAAATAAGTTTTTTGTCCAATCACAGCAGCGGTCATATATGGAACTTTCAATGGTGAGGTACAGGCTAATTCCCTATTTGGATAAGAAAGAGAGGTTCACTAGAGTTATATTACGAGCAAAAATACGATAGGCCTCATTAGCTTATACATACTTAAGTAGTTCCTTAAATTACTTCGTATAATCCAATGGTATTTAACCTTCACCTCCAAATAAAGTAACCACGAAGAAAAACTAAGACTCATCACAATAAGGTTAATGAAAATCATTATAGACATCAACATCCTGTGTTGCATTCTGTCGACAAAAAATATAACAAAAACAGCATAAAATCCACGGGTGTTACGAAATATAGAATACAATGTGAGTACAATAAGACCACTAGTTTACTGGTTCTCAGCGCTGGGTGCTCGTCTTGAAGAAAATAGCTTATCATACAATAAGTATAGGTACATAGTAGTAATGCATGTATTGTTTGTGCTTATGGTAGTGATAGTATCTAGGAAGTAATAAAAATTTGGTATATATATATTTTAAGAAAAATTAATGTTCAAATTGTATTCACCATAATGAGCCGTTGTGTTTTGGCTGGAGCCTTCCTTCACAGCCAATCCTGTTATTCAAGACTTTTAAGATGTAAATCAGACACTTTCCTAGCCTTTTCTTTTATAAGACTGCATAGAAGGGTTACCTACTGAAAATGGAAAAAGGTGCTTCTTTTCCGTATTGTTTAAATAAGTGTCTTAACATTTTTCACAGCAAGAAACAATGCATTATTTAATAGCATGGAGGTCCTGTTTGTCCAGTCGTTGTAGCTGTCTAAATTATTCCCTGGTTTAAGGAGTTGGTCCAAGTAAAAACGAATGTAAGCACTATAATGGTCACTTCAGCTTACAATTAAAAAAAATACAGACAAGCAATGTCCGCAACAAAATCAATAGCAAATAAAAACAAATCAATACTTAATCTCTATCTCAAAATAACACAATATGATATTATAATACTAACACAAAAAGTTAGTAATAGTAAGCTGGTATGGGTGTGGGCGTGGTATGAAGGGGCGTGCGCTCCCGAACGTGGTCGGAATCGGAGATAGGAGTCGCGATTCAATAGAATATTAGCACATACTAGCTTTGTGAATTGATTTTTTTTTGTAACGTATCTGTTTAAAATGGTTAGTTACTATTAGTTAACTGTTTTTACAAAACTTTTTTTAATTATTCTTCTGGTTTGTTCAGTCTTATTTGCAGTGCTTGATTGCTAAAAACGACAATGTGGTCCTTTTTTTTTAAGGGGGAAAAATCATCGAATTACTTCTCCCGCCTGGGTGACGCGGAAGGGAGTGTCAGACTCTTACTGACTAAAACCCACCCCGTTCCTTCTCCTGTACTTCGAGCTGGAGCCCCGGTTACCCTTTAGGTTCTCCGCGACACAATGTGGTCCATAGGACCGCTTTTTATTTTAATCAAAAATGTAGTTACATATCTGGTTCTTTTAACTTTGAGCACTTGGCCTCTTTATGTTTGTTGATTACCAATCGAATTTAATAAGACGGCAGTCTTCCATAGCATCTAGTTAAATTAACCGTATTTAAGTCAGCTCAAAAGCTAGTTGAGAAGAAGCCTACAGTAAGGAACATTATCTCTGCTTGCCCTTTTGAAGAGAAACCATCCATCGTGATGTTATGTGTGTGGTTTATACCATGACTGATGTATGATATTCTAAAAGACAGCACTTTCATACGTCAATCAAGCGTGTTCTTATTGTGTGTTTCATCATTTATTTAAATGTTCATATTACCTAGTTGAATACGTCTCATTAGCTTTATCCTAAATTCAAATGTACAGTGAAAACTTTATGGTTTGTTTTCTATTAATGAAAATAAGAAAATAAGCTAAAATTTCTCCGACATTTTTAACATCACTACCACCAAATTCAAGTGAAACGCTTAGAAAAATATTCCAGTATTTTCGCCTGTTCCTAAAAGTCTCGATATTTTCATTGTATCAACTTGAAAAGGGAACGAATACTATTTTCGAAACGGTTTTCCAATAACTCTGAACCTTTTTGCTTACGTAATAGAGGTCCCACACCTGCTGACCCACAAACTATTCTAGTATCTGTTTCCCTCCTTTATTTATAAATGGTTTAATAATAGTTGCTAGTAAATGTGCTAGATTGTTATATCATTTGTTTAGTTAACTGTGAGATGTTTATCAGATTCATTAGTGTTATTTAATTTAATAGGTAGTACAATAGTACGTTCTATATCTTTTTTCATTTTTAATTTGTAAAACTTGAACAAGATTGCATTTAAAACGAAAGGACCAAAATCCTTTCGTTTTAAATGCAATCTTAAGAATTGAATTTCATTTTTGAGCTCTACAAGTTATTTGTTGCAGTATCATATCCATCAATTTTAAACATGTAATTTTGGAAAGAGGTTCTACTATGTACACCTTAAAAAATATAAAAAAACAAAACTAGCAAACATCAATAAGTCACTCAATCAAACTATACAACAATAAATACTGAATGTTCAAACTCCAGACAGTAAGACAGTCAATTCGGACACTTTACAACACAATGGTGACGATACAATCTCTGTTACATATAAACCAGAGAATGTCAAACACGTGTGTTTCAAGACAAGTCGCACAATGCCCATTGTTAGGTTTCTGAGCTCCATCCTAGGATGCATGTGTGTGTGCTTGTGTAGCCGACGATGATGATACTGAGGTACGGTCGTCAGTAATTGGAATATGTATTTGGATCGCTGGTTTAGAGGATGGTTTTAGTCTAGGAAGATTTTATGGTCCTATAGTTGCAATTACATCTGAAAGCACATTTGGTGCAATGGCGAATTCTTTTTGGGAAAGTAATGGGGTTTGGAAGATTAGGCATCCAAAGTAAGGCGAAAGAGAGAAGAAGGAAAAAGTACACATGCAATAAAATAGATTTAAAATGATAATGATGATGATGATGATGAGAAAACACTGTCTTAAATAGTATTTGAAAATATCACAAAACAACGACCTTTGTATACGTCGTGCCAGAATAAGGATATGTCCAGAACAAATTACTCCACGATCCATTCGACTGAACCGAACTCGTATTGAATCGAATCCTTTTCAAGTCACTTCAATTTCACTGCAGCATAAACGTTGCCGTTGGTATACAATATGGGCTAACAATATAAGATAGATGTATCTGTGACAATAAGACTGTGGCATACATCTTTATATATATTTCCCGAGAACCTGTCGGACATGTCACAGCGACACTATCGCATAACGCCGGTGTAACTAAGCATTGTTGAACAAGCTTTCATCAGAAAATATTATATTATTTTGATATACATTGGTGTAATGTCAGTTTCAATGTAATTGTTTTGTTTTAGCGAATTGTGAACTAGTTTGAACTAGATTATTAAATGAGTAGTCGAGTTTTATTTGATTAATTGAGGTAATCTTATAATTGGATCAAATGGTTTCAGTTTCAGGCTATTTAAGTATCACACTACAGTTACAATGTAGTTTCGTAATATTGACAATAGTAGTTAAATTGTTAACACGAATAAAAGGACCAAATAGGTAAAGCTGGTCCTTTAGTACTCAAAAAGGTTTTTACTCAAAAATCAACCTTAAAGTTACTTTTATTTATGTTCTAATTGAACAAAAACCTTAAAAAGACCAAGTCGATAGCTGTTTCGGTGCAAGCTAAGATAATCGGGTTCTGCACATCGCTATAGGCTTACAAACCGGGTCAGCTCACAATAGCCCCAAGCCTCTCTTGGACTGAGGCCGGCCTATTATCGCGTACTATTGAGGCCGCTTCCTATACGTGTGGGACAGGAAGGTACTATGAAGCCGTTTGTGAGACACTACTTCTGTTATCTAGTCATACATGAAGCTATAACTTAGAAACCCGTACTAAATAAGAATATTTTAAAAGTGATTTTGTCATGCAAAGCCTGCAAAGCTTGGGTATGTTATGGATTAGACAAATCAAACTGGCTTTATTGTGGAGAATGTAATTATTTTCTATGACTCATTCTACTATAAACTTACCGAACTATACAGTAAGATTTTGGCAGTATTTAGACATATTTTGCTTAGGCAAGAGTCGAAAGCTTTGTAAACCCTTAAACTGTAAATAGCTTTCTAGAATTAGTTAAGAATAGTAGCAATTGCATTCACCATATTAGATATCATTACGATATTGTAAATCGATGTAGCTAGCACAGGTATTTTCTCTCACAATAGTTCATTAGCACCGAATCACTATGCAGCTATGGTCGGACAACCGCAAATCGATATAAAATCGAATAGTTTTGCGTGCATTAGGTTCACCGTTACGCAATATGGGGTTTTTGCTCGATATCCAATAACATTTTTAAGTAAGGTTAGTGTTCGTTTCAACTGAAATGATCATAATGGAAAATAAAATCAATGCGGGTTATCCAAAACTAATGTTGGGTTTATCAAAAAACAAAATGGCTTTCATAACTCTTTTTGGTTTATTTATTATCACTGCACTAGAAACTCCAATATTTAAACCACGATGTGAGCATTTCAGCATTTCGCGCCTCCCGCAAAGCCAGAACTCATAGTTTCTTTTTCCAAAAATCCAGACACATTTTCATTTTTCAAATCCGCATACAAAACGAGGCAGCCATGATAAAAACGCGAGAAGATAGCGGAATGAACGAATTCAGTAGTTTTCTATTTAGACTGAAGCCGAGCGCGACTGCCAGCAGGCTTTTCATAATTGTATCTCATGCTGATCCTTTGAGCTGGGGAACAGAAGCTATGCCCTAAGGGACACTATGCTGTTTTGTCTTTTAGGCCAGTGAATGATGACATCATGATATTTGTTTTACGAAAATATTAGTTTTCTAATGTTTGTGAATACTATTGTCTTTATATTTAAACTTAAGGTACAAAATTAAGTAATGTCTAGTCAAATAGCTATCCTTAAATATGCGTAAAACATGGTCCGATACACTCGTGATAAAGTTATGAGGTCACAGAACTAAGTAAAGGTATTATAGCAACAATCTGCGACAAGCGACAACCATAAAGTAGTCCGCACATAAATAACTCAAGAAAAAAATAAGCAAATAAAACACAGACCCAGTTTTCCGTTTCGATAACAAATAAAACATTCGCCTACGCACCCTTTTCCTACAGCCCTGGACTATTGACCTAACATTAATAGTTTACGTGTAGAATTCCCGGCCTGAGCGGGCGGATGGTCGCACTAGTCAGTTTTATTTTATGAGTCCCGTTGAAATTGGAAATATTGGGCCCCTGGGGTGTGGTGCGATGTAGAGGCGTTATATCTCTCGTTCATTACGTGACATTGGTTTAAATTGACATTCCTTGTAAAAATACTTTAGTTAATTTGTTTTAAAGGAATTGTACAAATATTTTGTCAATTACTAATTGTTATCATTGTTCTTTGCGGTATGCATTTTCCTAAACATGTTTAGACTTTATACTGCATTATTTTAACGATTGATCAAACTGTGTGACTCATACCGATTACACACGAGATTTCTATTTATCGTCTTGAATATAATCGATTTAAAGGAGCGTGCAGAAAGATAAGCTAACACATGCTTCTTGGAAATAAATATTACAAAATAACTAGGAAACATATTAAAGGAAAAACGGTACTGAATTTGGGATGAAGGACCAAACGTGGACCGCATGGACTATTTAACATGGATTTTGATGTGGTTTTCAGAAAAATGTTTGTTACACATAGAAAAATGTTTTAGTATATTAATAAACTGACATCAGAGGGGGTTGAAGTAGATATATGTAAACGTAGTTTATAAAAGGATTATTTTGTATGATTATGTTTAGAACTTGTAGTCTCGACTTTTACCGTTCTTTATTTGGATGTAAAGATTGGTGTTTTCATGAGTTTTAAAAATTGTACCACACGGAGTATCCGTGCGTTTTATTCTCTCACCCGGGCAGGCAATAAAAGTAAGCAGTTTACTGACGGGATTAGCCTTAATAATGATTCGCATTGTTTGACAATATTCTCGCCATCGTTATTTACGGATGATGCTGTTACATTTAGCATAATATGATTATGTACTTTCAAATGTCATTAGAGTCAAACTTTTGAGAGAGAATATTACTAATGATGACATCAAAATGAAACATTAGTAACTGATAGGACAGTTTAAATAATAACTTGGTTTTTAGCAGTCAATCGTTGCATGACCTTTTTGTGTCCACGCATTATTTATTCATTTTAAGTCTAAGCGAATATTGTCTCTTACATCCATATTTATCATTTGTCTAGCTAGAAATGTTTAAATATATTAGCTTTAAGTTTGTCACTCGTTTTCTTTCAACCATTAGTCAATGTCTGACAGACAAATAGACAATTAAGTTACACTTGACTTATGTTTAAAGACAAATAAGTATTTAAAATATACTATATTTGTGAAGTTACTTGAGTTTTAGAGAGCTTAAGAGGTGATCATTCTTTGAAACCACATGCGTAGTTGCAGTGGTCATAAAAAGTCTAAAATATTGCATGATATCTTATATTATTTTACTTTTTTTATTAAAGCCAAAGAGTTTGTTTGTTTGATCGCGCTAATCTCAGGAACCACTGGACCGATTTGAAAAATAATTTTTGGGTTCAATAGTCAATTTATTGAGAAAGGCTATAGGCTATAGAACATCACACTACGGTCAATACAGGCGCCGTACAGAGCGGGTGAAACTGCGTTGAAGAAGCTATAATAGATATAAAAGGTTGTCTGTCTGTGTGGGAGTGGCCGTTTTATTTAAGATGCTCTTTTTGTTTTAGAATCAAATATTATTATTTGGTTTGCTTTTATTCACAGTTAAATATTCCTTATACTGCATTGTTTTCTAATACTCCTCAAATAATCAGCAGCTTTTGCTCTGGAATATGTTCGTTTTTTTAGGAGTCTTACTCTTATTTTGATCCCTACACTTAATCAGTAAACGAGATTGTATAAGTTAGAGATTAACATAGAAAGTTTCAGTACCTTTAGTAGCAAAATGTTCTGATTTCATTACTATGCTGTGAAAACTGCTGATTCGGGGTTTAATTATACGACGTCTGTGCCGAAGGGTGCCGATACTGAGCCGAAAATCAAAGGATAAGTCGTTTCAAAGGCTATATTTAGAATGTGATGCGTACTGATTTTTGGATATATTTAGCTAGAATGTTAGAATTTGTGTCACAAATAATTTATGAAATCTTAGCGAAGGTCACCTTATAAGGAGGCTGAATTTCCCTGCATCCTTTTTATTGTCCCGCAACAATAAATATCTCATCGTCGCTATAACAATATTACTACTTGGTTTTCCTCGATAATGATTATAATACTATCTTTTTAAACGTTATCTCACAATATGATGTTTTCCTGTATATTATATTGTCTTGTATGTATAATTATAAACTATTTAAGGTTGAATATCTTTACTATAAATCTTACACCATTATCAAAAAAAAAATGTATTACATTACCAAACATCTATCATAAATTGCACTGACTTAGCACTATATAGACACATACATCTTACCCTGCAGAGCAAAAACCACGTAATTACTGTGAGTCCGTTACGTAACGTAACGTGTTCAGTTACGTCTGCGTGACGTCTCACACCGTTGCTCCCGGGCCGTCACGTTAGCCGTCCGGTACTGGACGCGCTTCCTCTTATTTAATGGTTTTTATTATTGTTGTTACGACTCTTATTTTTATAGATAATTGTTTTATTAAACACTTGGCCATTGTTTGTACTTGAAGGATTTGTCGAGTAAGATATAACCCAGTTTTGTAATTTACATATTTAGTTATGTTCCAATTTTTCCATGGTTTACACAGTATCTTGGAACAACATCATTCATTTCTTCATCATTCATTTATTAAATATATTTTTTGCAGTAAAGAAAAATGTGTTACTGCAAATATAATAAAGTTACGCTCCTATTCTTTAAAAATATCTTTAATCGAGTAATGTAGATAGTTAATAGTACCGTTTACAATATTTTTTGTGACTTTACGCGGAACGGTATGCCGTATGTGCATAGTTGCAACTGCAACCAAGCCATAGTATAAAGAACAAAGTAGGTTATCTTCATACAAATGCTCCGCGCGCGGCTTATATGTGTGCGCCATAGTATCTATGCGTCGACGCACGCACACTTTAACAAAATCTCGACCCGTTTCTCAGTGCGCCAGGCAGGGCTGACACTGTACGAGGTTCGCGCGCGCTTCACGGCTTTTCGGCACTGTTCAATGAAATAAAAAATGTCTGATAATCGTAGAAGAACGTATTGCTGTGTGTTTGGGTGTCTTAATAATTAATCGATTCCAGAACTGTCTCTGTTCAGATTAGGTACCTATTGAACAGGAAAGGTAAGCTAGTCACTTTTTCTAGCATAATATAATTTGTAGGTACTTGATGATGAGATACCTACTTACTTATTCTTACTCTTATCATTCTTCATAGTTCCTACTCAACCAGAAATGTAATTACCTACTATACTTAAATATTATAAGAAAATGTGGTATTGTATTGTTTATTTCACAGTTTATCTGATTTGTTAAGAGCGTAGCCGAGTCGCATTTTTCCATATAAATGTATTCTTAAATTTACTTTCTGAATACTATGTATAGAGCTAAAGTTTATTTTAAGAAGTTAATAATTTTTTTATAAGCTTTTAATTTTTACTAAATTTATAAATTGATAAAATATTCAATCACAATATGCTTTTCATTTCATAAATTTAGATCAAGTGCTGCTTGTTCGAAAGTGACAACCCTGGGGATCAACGCAAGAGTAGGCTAATAACTCGGCGGGCGGCCTTAGATAACCTACTGTGTTCTTTATACTATGACCAAGCGGTACAACTTTTTTCTCGAAAGTTCTTCGCTAGCTATGAATGCTTTTCTGTTCGCGGTAGGAATAATCATATCAGTCGGCATTCATTGCTGGTAGCATTTCACTTCAGTTTTTTTTTAAATTGCTGTCTTTAATGACGATACTGCGAAGGTTGTAGAACCTGATGGTAGGTAGCTTGATCATAGACGTCTTGATAAAAACATGACAGGATGGAAGGTCATGAACACGTTGACTTTGTGTAAAAGTTACAAATCTTCAGTGAATATTTTTGATCAAAATATTCAGTACTGTCTTTAAAGGCTTTAAAGTGAAGTTGCACCTAAGGACCAAATTTGGTCCTAGCATTTAATCTATATCCTCTATATCACGTATAATAAACCAAATGCCCACTATAATTCTTATCAAAAACCATATTTTTAACTACATAAGCATTTGTTATCATGTACACATTATTTATATATTTAATTTATAACATTCCAGGCCGCGCAGACGATCGGGGTCGAGCATAGTGGTCCTAGGAGCCGAAGAGGAAAAGCGACCGCCCCCGGATGACGACAAAGACATGCTCACGATGCTCTCACTCACATCTGATACCGGTAAGAACATTTTACGATTTCTTTTAATAAATAGAAAATATAGAAATATTATCTCGTCATCTAAAATAGAAAGTTAGACTTCATTATTGAGTGAATACTTGGATTCTCTAATTTACTTAGAATCGGATTTTTTTATTATGATTGATGATCATAATGGGTAATAATTAATTTGACTCTATAGTCTACCAAGTCAGGTGTTATTAATTTTATTTATCTGTAATTTCATTGTTCTTTTATTTGGGTGTTTTATTACTGAAAAAGGTCAAACCCTGAACGCTAATGGAAAAGTACATTTCAGTTAAAATACTTAAAATTGAAAGCTTTCAACTGTCAAAAAGCGACGACGGAAAAAAGGTTTTATCATACATTGATATTCCGTCCGCCGCCCAACAAGGTGCCAGATTAAAAATCATGAAAAACGGTAACTTTTAAAAAATTCCTGGCGCGCAATGGAACTCTGTAATTCAGCCTGATATTAATTCAGGCGTTCATTAATTTTTTGACAAAACTCCCTGGTTCCACGTTATTACGAGCTTTTGTGTCTTTCCTGAATAATTTCACTTCGTTGCCGTTGTGTTAGTTTAAATTCGCATTCCATATTTAAATGTACGAATTCGTGTAGACATCTTTCATTGGCTTTTACATTAAGTCTGGTTGCAGATAAAAAAACTTTTCTACGGTGAAGTTTGCTGTCAAAATATTACTACTTTAATTATCTGTGTTCCATTATTTAGTTTTAAAATGATAATGAACTTGTTTACTCGTTTGCACACGTTAATCTTCGGTGAACATGTATAAATTCTATTCGATATTTTACCAACAGTTTTTTTGTTGAAGATTTATTATCTCTCACGTACAAAATGAAATCAAAGTGATACAAAACAATAGCCAACCAACCAAGAATAGCCATTATTCCTAATTTTTTGTTAGACTTGAAGACCTCAAACACATTATTTCATTACTTTTTGTATTCGACTGGCCTCTACTAGACAATGGAGCAAAAACTAAGGAAGACAAGTATAGATGTACTAGTAATTAACTTAAATTGCATTTGGATAGTTCATTTTATTAAATAATAGTAATTTATGGTTCATGATAAAATTGACTACGAAATTGCCGGTACGAACTGCGAAGTTTAAATATAATTTTTTGAGTAATTATATTAGATTTGTAGCGGAGAATGGTTGTGTGTACGAAGAATTTGTATTGTTGTTAAAATCCAAGCTTTCATTATGGTAGTACGCTTATTTCAGATTATTGGCGCAATAAGAGATATTGATGTCATAGGTCTGTTTATATGACAACGAAAATCAACCTACTTTTTAAAGTACCAACGAGTGCGGAAAGCGCCCTATCTTTTTCCGTACCTAAGTACTTAAGCTATTTAAGTATCGCTTATATAATTTTTCCTCAGAAAAGCAGAATAAAAATAAACATACCGTTGTTATCTCTGCGAAACATGAATACCTTTTTATCGGCTAACAAAGGGTAATAAATATCCGAGATATTTCAGGCCAGTGTTCAGTGTTCATGTAATTAGTAGATAAGGCTAGTGATCGCACGCGGTGCTTGCTGGGTCACCGACTGGGGAGTAGTTGATAATTAAATTTTGCAGCAGATTCTGTTTAGGCAGGTTATGGTTATTTAATGGATAATAATATAGGCACTATTATAATTCATGGAAGTTAGGAAGGTTTTCACTGCTAGGCAGGTAGGTACTACAAAATACCTAAGGTCAGATTCTGGACTATTTTAATGATAGGTTTAGGCTTAGATGTAAGCTTTTCATCTTAGCCATTTTGGAACGTTTAAACTCAATTTTCTTAATTTTACTTTCCAGGTCCCCACCGCGAGATGGCGGTGGACGTTCCGGACAGTTTCATCGCGAGGAACAAAACGCCTCCCCGGTACCCGCCCCCTCGGCCTCCGCAGGTACGCCTCCGGACCTCCAGGGACGATGAGCCTCTTCTCTCATCCGGTGGCTCGGGCACCAGCTTTGGCAGCAAGCAAAGCACTGTTCTGCACACTATCGATATCTCCACGCCCAGCTCCGACGGGTCAGGCAGCTTCAAGAACAATAGCACCATAGAACTACTGTCCCTCCCACAAAGCTCCGATGGCTCCGGTAGCTTCGGCAGCAAGAAAAGTAAAGGGTCCTCAGAAACAGCCAAATGTGGAGACCTTAACTCGGAACGATCCGATTCCGTGGCCTCAAACACCACTCACAACTTGAGCGACCACAAAATCCAGCTCTTAATATCAAACGGCGAGGATTCTTTGATAGATTGCAGAGAGGGAGTCACATACTCAGCACGGACAGATTCTGTGTTGATCAGGGAGGCTGTGTACGCGTCGTACAAGCTTCCTCCTGGCTTTGACACGACGCCAGTGCTCCTCGGGAGGGAGGTGGCCGTGGATGTTCCTGATACATTTGTCCAAATTGTGAAAACGACGCCTAAGTACCCGGGTACCGCTACCGTGGACAGAAAGAGCGTGGCGTTCCAGGTAATGGGCACAAAGCTACGCATGGTTGTCATGGGAACCTTGGAGTTGTGGGTATCGGTTCATCATCTTGGTTCTTTAATACAATGTTGGAAACTTTGGACATTAATTAATCTCTCACTTACCTTCAGAGAATCAGTCATTACTTTAAGTATTAATGTCTCAAAGATTCAATATCTCCTTAAAATATTGGCATTATATTTCTGAACTAAGATGATTATTAGACTAGAATATCAGTATGGGAAAGGAACTAACATTGTTATCATGACTAACACCAACTCGTTGTAGGGTTACTAACCAAATCTCTAACATTATCACGTAAGGGAAGGTAGCTAAAGTTGTGTCATAGTAATTTCTGTTTATCATCCATCATTAACCGTTACTTCCATAAATTCGGAAAATACTAATTTTGATAAAAGATTTTCCGTGCAAACTGCTAATATTCCATTAATTTCGGCTTAACTATGTAGATACTATCAACGTGGTATCTCTTAAAATAGTCATCTTTATCTGAATTATCGTCAAGATAAAACAACTACTTGTTAGTATGTATCTCACGCACGTTTTGCTCACCTTCACCGCGTTCAATTGTTACTAAGATCACGACATTATTTATTATCACTAATTATTAATAACCTTTATTAGACAAAATTATTAGTTTCTGCTTTAAGTAGATCGGAGAGGACAGACATTCAGGTACCGAGAGTTGGTACCTATCCCAACATTATGAGTCCTTATAGATTCTACTTAAAACATTGCGTATTTCATTTTAATGTATACTGTAATTAACAATGATGAATAAGTATAATTATACGATCTAATTGGTTTTGATATTAATAAATATCGTCATCAACGGGCAACGCATTGCTACGTGTTAAAGACATTTTGAAATTGAAGAAAGAAATGACTTATACTAAATGATTATTAAAAGTTGATATACTTCTTAAAAACGTTTCTTGACAAGCAATATAAAACCTTATTTATTATTTGACTAGGAAAGCATTTTTTGCACCTAACTATGATTTTACTTCATCATTCATATCATCAATCACGCTTTTCGCACTAAAACGCTCTGCTGTCTGTGGACAACAATTTAAATTTGGAACATTTCGAACAAAAAATCGTTAAAATTCAAAATTATTCGTATCGCATTTGGCTGTTTCTTCGAAGTTTACATTTGGAATTTTCTCCAAGTAGTGTTGGTGCTAAAAAGATAACCGGCTGTATATTACTTCTAGTATTTGCCTTCTAATATTAATGAAAAAATATATTCATGTATGTATATCTCTCTATATCTCTGCTATTTATGATAACTGATCTCCTGGACTCCTTACGTGTTTTGTCCGTATATAGGTTGTCGTTATGTAAATCAGTAGCTATATTCTATTCTCCTATACCAGCTTAAGATTTTCCTCTTTTACTCAGATTTTGTTATTATTTTTCTGGTTATCTGATATGTATATCATTTTTACCCGACCGAAGGAAGGGTATTGCTATTATATACCTTTATATACGTGTATTAAAGTTAATTTCCCAACACTTCTTTACTACTTGGGTCGAACCTATAATAGATCTTAGGCACGTCCTCCTAATTTATCATATATATACTTAAATCGAGGATATAATCTGCCGTGAATAGGTCTTATCCTTCCTAAGGGTCAACTAATGCTATAAAATATACCTACGCTATTATTTTCCTTATACATATATCAGATTTATCTTAAGAACGACCTAGTAATGCGAAATTTACTCCTAATATTATATATCGTTCATGAAATAAGTATTACGAGATACCTAATATTACTTATAAGAGTTTTTATATAATATTTATTGATTCTATTCAGTATTTTCTGTCGTTATCTTCTTTTCCGTAATGGATATGTTCCGTATTTTCTTGAGAAATTAAACGCAATTATTTTCGCGTATATTTTAGATAACCTACAGTTTAAAATATGATCTATTTTTCTGATAGATTTTTTATATAAAGTGGTCAAACGCGTCTGGGTCAATAATAATTAAAATTATTTTAAGCGATCTTCTCGATCGCTTGCTTCATTTCTGAAGGTCGTGCCCCTGAAAGGCTTTGCTCTCTGAATACAGAAGTAATAACTTCCGTTCATCTTGTCCTCTTTTCGGCTTCTCTTAGGGCTTTCGTTACAGAGAGTCTAGTGTAATTGGTAACTTGGTCACACCATCGGCTAGGTGATCGGCACGTGGTCTTTTTCCTTCCACCTTACCAACAACAACCAAATATGTACATTTTTAATAAACTTTTATTTAGATCTTGATTGAAACTATGACTTGATTGAGACTCTTCAAATTTTTGTATATTTCATAATACGTATTTAATTGTGTAACTTGTCTTAATATCATTTCTGTTACAGGTGACTAATATAAGTATATTAGCAGTATTTAATATATATGTTCATATGTTGTATATCTATTATTATAGTAATATTTCTTCGATATAATCTAATACTTGCATGTTATAATCAATCATAATCTGGGTTATAACTATAAGTTTATAAGAAACATACTTTGGAACATATTATGTATCTATTAATTGTTACCTACAATTTTTGGCTCAATTTCCTATCAGAACGTGTATGAAACGTATATTTAAATTTGAAGTTGTATTTCAAAGATCTTCGTTGTAGTTGGAAATAGATAAATCTAATTTGGAAACCATTGAAGACTTGTGTTTAATAGTAGACGTCTTGTTGCTACGAGTAATATGGCGATAAGAGATGACAATGAAACCTATGATTAATGAGTAAATTTGTAACCAAACATAGCATTATTTTGGGGCACAAACAGCAAAATAAATCAACAAGCCAGAAAACAGGAAAATTCGTAAGTCATCACACAAAAGAAAAGAAAACTCAAATGAGATCATTAATTTCAAAATTTTATTCCTCTTGCTAAGACTAATATGAAAATGTGTTAGAAGTTGAGCCATAAATTCTCTAGACCTGACACAGAAGTAAATAAGGTGATATTACTTTTGTTTCTTGTATTATTTTCTTTGTGAAATTATGTTAAAACTGTGGCTTGTTTATTTCTGTGTGGGAAGTGCTAAAATATGTATGTTTATATTTATTATAATTGGATCAAAATGCATGTCTTCAGCGGGGTGTAATTACTGTTAAATATATTATAACATAAGTGTTTTTGAAATAACAAAATGAGACTTACAAATACTTAATATCTGAACTGAGGCCTTAGTACAAGTTTGATTTTCGTTTAAAGTATTCGAAACGAGTACGCGTTCGGCAATCTGATTGGTTGGTTCATTTTAGCCGGCCAATCACAGCGCCGAACGCGTACTCGTTACGATTATTTAAACGTAAAACAAACTCGTACTAAGGCCTCTGACTTATAAAAACTGACACTAACGATCTTAAAAGTCAAAGTAGAAGCATTTATTTCAATTAAACAGTCAAACACCAAGCGGTCACCGGTGACCGCAACCTATTGTTCTTTAATTGTGTCTATAAATACGGTACTCGACGAGTTAATCCTTGTCAATGTCCAAAAATGATGTTTCTATCTGATTCTCAGTAAAGCTAGACGCTGCGCTCGTTCCAAAGTGTAATTTCGAATGTAGAAGAACGAGCAAGAAATTCCATCCCTTTCGAAAAATAGACTCATTGATTGGTAAAAAAAGATATATAGATTATTATTCCTTTAATGATACAATCAAAATGACTCAATATCAGTAATCGGTGCAATGCCAAGCTTTGCTCTTTTATATATCATTCTTGGGCCCTCAATGTAATTTAATTTACACCATTGGGAGGTCACTAACTAACTTTCATTTAGAATTAACTGACTAACTTTCATTTAGAATTAACTATTATTTAGTTATTGTTATTTTTTTCTATAAAAATAATTGAAGATATCTTTGAAATGAGATATCATGTTAGCATGCATTTTGATGCTTAATTATATATTATGTTCAGATGGTATATATGGTGGTACTTAATTGAATAATTTGTGAATCGTTATTCTGTAAAACCGTCTGAATATAATTTTATTTTCAGAAATTGGGTAACGCATGTGTTAAATGGGATATATTATTATGTATTTAGTTGTTATTTACAACATTAGATTGATAGATATAGATATAAGTTATATATTGAGGTTTGAGTTTTTGATGCTAAAGAGAACCGTAAGAAAATCTCTTGTTACTCCGATAAATAATACCTTACTTACTATGTATGTTCATATCTTTTCTTTTTGTCAAGTACCTAGGTTACATCAAAAACTCAAATGTGCAATATCAATTAAATAGAAATAAGTCTAGTATTTGAAATAATTACAGCAATTTAATTTTAGTACCCATAGTTATTAAATGTTTAGTATAACTTTTGCTGCACTCAGCACCACTGATGCCCCAACAAATTAATTCAGGTTCGAAGCCTGAAGAAACCACTTTAAATGTTCACGAAAAATAACATTATAAATGGGTTTTGTGTAAAACCATTAGCAATGTCATTTAAGGCGCTTGACACGGTAATCGTTAAAGGACTGGTGTTAAGGAATTAAGAACTTTAAGGTACACAATTTAATTTAAAAAAAGAAATTAATAGCTTTCGAAATAAATAAAAAACTCATAGATATTGCACAGAACCTATAAACACAATACGAAACTTCTGTGTTCTCAAAACTCTACTGCAAAAAGAATCTCAATCTCAATCTCTTATCTTCTCTTATTACTATTTGTAACTCTTAATTCTATCTGCAGCAGGTGAATGGGACGGCAAAGACGGTGGCGCCAGCGGTGCCCCCTCGCGACACCGCGCGGGATGCACCGCCCCGCCCACCAGCACACGACAATGTCAGCAAAGAACAGATGGACTCCATCAAGAAGTACCAGGTTAGTCACCTTCTGGTATCTTTTATTTTGTTTCAGTATCATATATTATAATTATTATCATGAGACGTATGTACTTTCCTCTGCTCTAACCAAGGAATTGATTTAACGGAATTGATTCTAAGCCATATCATAGACTTGTGTAATCTACTTTTAGTTACTACATACTTGGTATTCAAGATCAATTGGCACGCAATTCATGATGATGAGTCCCAGTATGGTTCGAAAGTGATCGGGCTTGCTCGAAGAGTTTTAATTGCATAAACTGAAAATATTGTTGAAAATTTTATCAAATGGTTTCTTTGTCGTATGAATACACCTGTTTTTTATCATATAGGAACGTGCAGGTGTAGTAGGTACTATTGTTTAAAAGGATTGCCCATCAATTCGTAACACGTCATTAGGTTTGTAGATTTATAAATGTGTGATATTACGTACAAAAGGTCTTATTACGTTGATATATCATATCCATAATCTGTTCATTCTGAAATAGTCTCTAATCATCGGAAATAAGGTCTATAATGGAGTTAGTGGAGAGTGGTCACCGGTGACCGCTTGAAGATTGAACAGTTATAGGTAGGAAACTGTCCATAGTAACTCTCATTTACTTACATTTTATTTTTTATATTTAATGGGCTCATGTTAGACCACTATCTGGCCTGACAGTAAGTGATGATGTGGCCTATGTCTCCCCATAAGTAACCTATTCATATATACTTTAGGAAACACAGACTCTGGCAAAGAATTCCACTATAATAATTTTACTGTTGGGTTTATTTGATAATATAGAATAGTAACTTTCGTGAGACATACTAAATAAAATATTATGTTTTCGGCTTCCTCACGTAATAATTTGACGAGGAACTCGACTAGTTTCAAGTAGCAGCGCGACAGTCGCCGCGTCGCGGGTCGCGAAATGCTGCTCATGAATATGAGCCTCTAGCATGGCTTGAAACTAGTCGAGTTCCTCGTCAAATTATTACGTGAGTAAGCCGAAAACATAATAATTTATTTAATATAGAATAGATAAGAATTTTTCGTTCAAGTTCAATAGTCAAAAAGACTCTTCTATAAAACGTCCACAAAAGATCAAGTTACTCCTAAGGAAAATATATAAAAGAAGCAACTGATCAACAATGGAAGGAAAACTGTTACACGTGTTCTGTGGTTAAACCTGATATTCTCAATTAATTAATAAGCATTTTATACCTCCCCTATTCCTAGAGACTTAAGGTCTATTTTCCTACAGGGTAGCAGATATGAAACAATTAAAGGTTTACGGTTTACACTTATCATTTCATAGCCTTTATTTCAATAAGATAAAGTCTATTTTCCCACAGGAATGCAGAGATATTTACATAATAGGGGTAAACACCATACATTAATATTGTCACGGTCAGATAACATGTGTCATTGCGCATGCGTATTGTTAGTTAGACCCCGTTATATTGAGAGTCATATCCTGATTTTTGTTCTATCTGCTTTCTAAAATGAACAGAATAGAGGTAAATTAGGATGGACTTTTGTTGTTAGGTGCAATGAGATTATAATTTGGGTAGAATAGAATTCATCTATAAGAATTCAAAGTGCTATTTTATATATATGCTCTTTTGTTGAATTTCGTCATAGGGCTAACTAAGTCAAATATATAGTTAGTGGAGAGACAGTCTCGTATACTTAAAATAATTAAAAAGTAGAAAAAAATATAACATAACATCACGCCTTTTATCCCCGAAGGGGTAGGCAAAGGTGCACATTATGCCGCTGTACAATGTAACACCCACTTTTAACTACTTATGTTATGAGTCTCATGTAATAGGGGGTGAGCCTATTGCCATATACCGGACACAATTCCAGACTCCGTGCTACTACTGAGAATTTTTATAAATCCAGTAATACTTTGCCCGACCCGGGAATGAAACCCGAGACCCCTTGCCTGGCAGTCGCACTTGCGACCACTCGGCCAACGAGGCAGTCTGGCCAACGAGGTAAAAAAAGAAAACTTGGAAAATAGCGCAGATTAAAGCTAAAGAAAGAATATAAAATCGGTAAAGGTTCTGGAGGTTTCTAAAGGTTTTAGTCATGGAAATATTTCTACGTACTTAGGTAAATACTGAATACACAAAACCTACCTCAGTACCTTTAATATATTGCCATAACTAATCACCAATATATGTATAAAGTTGAACAGGAAACTAACATAGTTATATATCTGTTCTAGGAATCCAATAACCGCAGAATATTTCACGTTTTGTATCACTTAATATTCAAGGCTAAGATACACTATGTGATTGTGTAATTAATTTTATATACATGTGTATATATATTGTTGCGTTTACCTCGTCAAATAGACTGTTACCTCTATAAAGTTTACTTTACCTTGGATTATTAATAAAAATAGATAAAGTATAATAATACCGTACCCCACTAGTATACAGTAGACATATCTTAATCAATTGTTCAAGATTAAAGATCTGTATATATATCTATTTTATGAAACGGTTACTCTGTGTTTCCTTTGTGTCTAAACATTCTGTGGGTCAACTGTAGCTTTATAAATTTTCCTGAAATAACGATTAAATAACACGTTTCTTTATATTGTTGCAAGTTATTGGTACTTGAGAATAGCAACAATAGGATACGAATTAAAGGGAGTAAAGTTTCGAGGCTAAGCAGAAGAAACTGTATGGCTTAAAATAAAAATAGTAAAAGGAATTGCGAGTATGAAGCCAGTAAAGTTATGCTTTGTTAGAACTATAGAATGACGATGTAACTTTTTTAGTAATGGTTAGGAAACAATAAGACCATTGCCCTTAAACACCGATAGAAGCTATTGATGTTCAGAGAAATGCATGGTCGCTTTTTGATGACTAAAAGTGTTGTAAAAATTCTACCAGTTTTTATTTATAAAATGTTTTATTAGCTAGATCTATTGCGGGTTACTCACGTGAAAATACTGAGAATAACTCTACTAGTTTCAATCCAAGGAGATATACTCCAAACCATGGTATAGAAAACACATCCATACACAGCAAAGCATGGAATAGAAAAAAATACTATTCCATGCAACAAACCGTAATATATAAAAAAACATGTATGTATTATTTGTTTTGTATATCAAAATCAAGGATTTATTAATGAACTTTTGAATTTGGTTTCCAAAACGGAAGCGTCAAGAATATTTTTACCACTCAACCATTTAAATCTTGACTCAGCCTATAAACCAGTATAGTGCTAAGACAGACACTATTTTATTCATTTATTTTTCTTTTCATTAATAGTAGCTTTAGTGAAATATTAAATGAATTGGATTTAATAACTGTGACGCAATTCTAAACTAGTTTTTAATGATGTCGTCTGCTCGCGATGGTGTTTTTATTTATATTCATACCAATCTTTTATGTTTCCCGTTCTGCGGCACTTTTATATAAAAGTTGATTTCAAAAGTGTGCCGGCTTAAATTGTCACTTCAAACATTATTAAAGTTGCATTTATGGTCAAAATAAAACTGGATCTTTATCTTTATTCTCAGTATTTTGTATTTGAAAAATATGACATAAGTTTTTAGACATCAGACTTATATATATGTATATACATATATACGTATCAAATAATATCAAATCTTTGGAATTCAATTTTCTTATTTTATGAGACATGATATACCTATGAAACTATATTGTTTATTCTTTTCGAAGTTTTCCCCGAAAAGAAGTAGCTGGTTTAACGTGATACCTAGGTATGACGTAATATACGTACAAATATACTTGTACAGACACCCTATAAAATAAAGACAAAAGGCTCACAAATGTTTCTAATTAATTAATCAAAGTTTTACACGTGTGTAACTGTGTAATAAAAGGGACACATTTTCCTGTATATGTATGTTATTTACTAGAATAACCCGAAGGAGGAATATCTGTCTAATTTGCCGTCTCAGCCCGCGCGAGTCCCACAGGAGATAAAAATATCTTGTTTATTTCTTACTTCTCTTTCGTATATAATATATATTTTTTCCTTCTTGTTATGTAGGTATTAAATTAATAGCTTAAGGCTAAATGTTCTACTTACGAGAATTAATTAAGTTTTAGTTATAAAATTCAGTTAGATAATAGCTATTATTAGGTGCCTCTTGATATTAACACATTAATTGAGGAATATTAAAAAAAATTGAAAATAGATTCCTCATTAATTTTTCGTGTTGATTAAATTATCATATACCTATTAATAATATCAGAAAATACCATAACATAAAAATAAATATGAATAAGATGTATTTTACTGCGTACCTACAAAAGTGTGGCGGTTTGGTCCTTTTTAAGATGCGAGCACGGAGGCATTATGTAATGAATCGGAAAAGAGAAAGTCTGGTTTGAGTTTATTACGATACTTGTAAGCCATTCGATTGGGACCTCAAATACTTGATATCACTCAGGTTAAATCTAAAGTTATCGCAGGATTTAGAATAAATAATGATTTCAGAGTAGTTTAAATCAAAACTGATTTAGGTTGCAGATAAATGTGTTAATGAAAAATGCAAAAATAATCTAGTGTTTATTTTTATTTGTTTACTACTATCTGCTAGCGGCTTCGCCCGCGGTCTTGTGGGGTAAAAAGTAGCCTATGTGTTATCCTAGACCTTAATCTATCCCTGTTCCAAATTTCATTACAATCCTTTCAGCCGTTTTGACGTCAAAGAGTAACAAACATTTTTACGTTAAGGAGTAAAGTACAGTGGGTACTTTACTCCTTAACGTTTTTAGGCTCACCCCCTATTACATGGGACTCATATCATAAAAATAGTGAAAAGTGCGTGTTACATTATACAGTGGCATTAAGTGCCGTAATGTACACCTCTGCCTACTCCTTTGGGGATAAAAGGCGTGACGATGCTATGAGTAACAAACAAATTACTTTCAAATTCATAATGTTAATTTAATTTAAACCTTTATTAGCAGGCAACTATGGCTCATAAATAATATACCGTTGATGTAAATAAACTTAAGCCTATGTTAGTAGAACTTCACTTTGCACAAGCTAAATTATCATAATTATAAGGTTTTGCAATTATTCTTCTATTACCATAAATAATTACTAAACAATGATTAATCATTAATTATCTAATGATGAGGTCGACTTGTCATTATGTGAATAAAAATAATGACAGAAAGCAAAAAGGTATAAGGCAAAGTTGTTAATATTTCGGTACACTTTTAAGACTCGTAGGACCAAAAAAATTGTTTATATTTTCATTACAAACTAGAGAACAAAGTCAAACTATTTTCCATTAGTTTAGGACCAAAAAGTATCTTGCTTAAAATTACTAGAACTCAGTAAGGTGTACTTAAGTTTTTCTAACAAAGTAGGTACATCCTTACATCAAACTGCTTTTTACAAAAAGTGTTAAACAAAGTTTGTCGTTTAGTTGCTCATGTTCAGTCCTTAACAAGTTTGTTCTGAGATAAAGTACGAAGTTGTCTGAAATTGGATCTTATGAATCTTTGAAAAACCTTCTAAACATCGCTCATCCAAAGTTTAATCATCAAAGCATGGTTTAACTTGACTTGAACTCAAAAGTTTAACGATGAGAATGTTTAAAATGTTAAAATGTCTGTAAATAAAATGTCCTTTAACCTTTTGACCTACACTGTGTTAGCTATGGCCAACAATAAGAGGTAATTTTAAGCACCGACATTTTATTTTTCGTCTGTGGTGACAGTTGCGCTCAAAAACTTAAAATTGTCCTCTTTAAAAGACACAAATGTAATGAAAAATCAAGTTACTTCAGTCGATCAAAACATTATCATTTTGACGTAAAAAGTTAGTTAATGTGCAACTATACAGCGTTTACGAGATTGAAGCAATACAACAGGTTACATTCAACGTTATGAAATAAAAATTCATTTACAACGAGCCACCGCCATGTGGATATGGCATTTAAGTTATTTACTTTTTGTTGAATTTAGTTTTATTATTACTAAAATAACATTGGCTAATGGATATTTATGTATATTATTTTCTAGTTGAGATAATAAAATGGTTTAGTCGTTGTGCCGATTTTCGATATCTGTTATAGATAATAATAAATTTATATTATTTAGTGAAGATCAAACAATACAATTTGTTGTCGGTGCTAAAGATTTCATAATCGCATTAAGTATATTTTACGCCACAAATTCTTACCTAAAATATAACGTTACACAGCTTCACAAACTTCATCGAATTTCAACTTATGAAGCACATTAAAATAATTAAGTAGACCCACGCAGTAAATGATCTTCTAAATATTACCAGCTAATTATTCCATGTTGTCTATTCCATGAAATATACTTGCCATCGTGACCTAAATATGAAAATATTAAGTTTAGGATTCGCAAAACGTGTTTCTGAATAATGCTAATGTAATTTGTACCTTAATTTAGTTTTTTTTTGCTGAAGCTACGAAGGCGAGCTTTTAGGAATACCTTTTTTTAACCTGGCAACATGGACGCGGCTAAAAGGACCAGATTTTCGTGGTCCTTTTATTCGCGTTCTATTTATTTGTTTGGCTAAGTCTTATTTAGTTGGACGTGTATTTGTTTTTTTATTACTCGATGTATTCAGTATTTTCTTTCTTATACAATAGATGACCTGTTGCCAGATTTATTATTCTTAGCTACAATACAGAGGATATCAATATTATTACAGAGCTCTCGTGTTGTGGATGTTAAAGTTATACAATCATTAACAATGGGTTGTACAGACGCGATATCTCTGAACGTTTTCACAGTAAAAACAAGTATTAGCCACAGATTTTCCTAAAAAGAACTAAATGTGGGTTTATATTTTAAAGTGAATTACAGAATATCAGTACCTAAATACGAATAAATATGTTACGAAAATATTAAAAAATATTTATGTCTTAAATTGTAGTTGACTTAATCCTCGGTTTATGCGTACCTACCTATTTCGCGAAATAACAAAAAATGCTTTATTATTTCCAAACCCGTACGTAGAACTAAATTTTATACTGAGACTGGAAGGGATGAGATAAAATGTTGTGTGGTCCATTGATATTCCACTTTCGCTGTTGGTTTATTCAGATTTATCCTAAGTATATACTCTGTTGAGCCGTCGGGTCCTGTTATTATAACATTACCCGAAGCTCTATATTTAAAAGGCAGATAGTAGCACGCAGCTAGTGTTACCTGTAATCTTAACTTGTAGGCTTTGATGCTAGGCTTATTATTCTATTTTGTAAACTTAATTTAGTCTACAAGGTAAAGGGCTATAATTGCCTAGGACTTCTTTCCATTTCAAACCTAGTTTGGGTCAAGTTCATTTTGTGGATTTTGTCTTTGTTAGTGATACCTAAAAGCGTGTCGTTATCCAAAGGACCATCTCGATCTATTTAACTTTAATTTTCAAATTTTAACTAAGTACGAGCATGACCTGATGAAATCATAACAATAACAGTTGCCACCTTTACCAAAACAGAGCTCATAGTTAGTTCCTAGGGCCGACCGGCCGAGCAGGCACGCTACCCGCCACTACCGCCGGCACTCAGTACGGTCCCCGCGCTAGCAGCGACGCCACGCGTTCCGGTCGCTCCGAGTGACAACACTATTACACCAAACACGAACTCTTCTGTGACGTGTGTTCCAATCGCAAATAATAAATCGTTTATATGTGTGTGTTTATGTTAATATTCACTTACATGATTGTCTCGTTCATTGGGTACTTGTGAATTTCGTTTGAGGGAATCAAAGAAAAACATTGTGTTACTTGTGATTTGTAAGTTGTAAGATTTAAATGAAACTGGTTATTGTTGTGGTTGGTTGCGGGTTGTGGGCGATATTCTGACAACCTGTCACCATTCGATTGTGGTCTAACGTGTTTCGGCGAAATGTGTAACTTTAGTGAAGTTTGTTTGATGTTGTCCAACGCGTTGCTGACCTCGAAAAGTGGTCCCACGTGACACTTTTTGTGCCATTAGTATGGACCATATTTGACTTGGGATGTTTCTCCCAGTGGAGTGATTCGCTTTCCAATCCTCACGGACTCGGAGCAATCGGTCAATTTGGAATCTCTCTTCATTTAGTTAGGTAGCTATTACCACAAAGCATCGAAATAAATAACAGTTAAAAGCCCAATTCATTTATTTGTAAATAAAACGCGTGAATGGTTATCGCGATCGTTGCAATAAATTAAACACGATTAATTAAATGTTGCTCTTATTTATTTTGATTCGATACAAATAACGATAAGTGTGGCTGGAAAAATGAGCAATGGAAATTATTTTAAAACAGAACCGTTCCAGAAATACGAAACAATTTTGGAACGAATGAAAGTTTGTTCAATTTAAATTCATTTTCGCTTCGTACTTTCAATACGGAATAAAATATCACACTTGATTTTATTTGAGTTGCTTTATTTTACTTTTAAATTGGGGACGTGAGGAGAGTGTTGTGTATTACGTCAGAAAACTGCCTCCACGGGAGATATAAACAACCCTAGTTATTGCTCTATAAGCAAAAAGCTCTTTAGTAAGCATTCAAATGTTACTTCGGTTTGGAGTTGTTTTGCGTGCAAAAAGTGGAATGTGTACTAGTTACTTCCTTTCATGACGCAAGTAGAGGGTCAGAAGGTAAATAGGTCATTTTGAAGGTTGTGAAATGACTGGAAACCGGTTAGTTATGTTTGATGTTTCGGAACAAGTAGTTGTAATTTTTAAATGTTAATGTTAGTTGCCATTGCGAAGGACATTTTCAAGTTAGCTTCGAACATCATATATTACATGTTATGAAGTAAATTAAGTAAATAGTTATCATGAAAATCAGTTTTTCTGGGTTACAATAAATTAATCTACTATATGATTATTACATAAAGGCTTTTGATCTTTTGCATAAGATTATAACGAATGTTGTGGTTCATTTTGATTATTTCCGTATTACATTTTTGCTTCCGTACTTTCAATTTCATATGATGCATAGATGCATTTATGTATTTTGATATACATCTTTATGACTATTTTCCAGTGTAGGTATATCATTAATAGTCATTCGTGGAGTTTTGGGTATAAGTCATCCATAACTGACGATCAATCGCCTAATCGGTTTAAATAAAAGTTTTTTCGGAAAATGAGGGATTATGTTATCTCACAACATGGGAAAAAATTCTCGTAGCATGCACATGAAATTAAACGCCATAACTTCATTTGCACATTACTCAATTAAAATGCACGCCAATATGCCATTGAAGACAAAAACTAATTAGCTTGGTCATAACTTATTGTTCTAATGATTAGTCATCCGGTCATCGGTGACAGTTTGTACCTATGTATTGTACTAAGTTGTGTGTGGGTATGTGACTCGTGTTCAATAGGTGTTTGTTTAAAAATGAACTCTTTTTCTTACTCATTGAGGTCATAACGGACTGAAATGGGAAATCGGTACCTACACTTGTTTTGTGTCTAAACTTGGATAAAGAGTTGTCTAGATTTTAGAACTGTATCCTTTCTAAGTTTTCTCTAAATATGGATTTCTTTACAGTTATGAAAATAGAAATGTAGAAACAATATGAAATATATTTTCTTAAAGTCTGTTCTAGAAAATCCGAGCTCATTATAAACGTTCAAAAGTCAGAGCATTGTTTCCTCTTTATGATAACCACAAAATATATGAAATTAATAAGGGCTGGAGCTGTTTTGCGTAGGTTGTATGTGTTTGTACAATGTAACCACAATACAGGAAATACTCCTTAGTTATGAAGCTAGTCTGCTTTACAAAAGAATATTTTTTAACAACAAATGAGACATTATTTATTCTGAATCTGAATTTTCCTTGTGCTATGTAGAATGTAGTAAAAATAAGACTGTTTTTGTTCTGGTCCTTTTATGACTCTAAGGACCATGTTGTTTATAGGTACTCAGGGTCATATCTCAATCAAACCTAATCAAATATTCAGGTTTTCATCCATCAAATGGAGACAGACGTAGACTTTTACTAGAACCTAGTTTTATGTGAACACTAGGGAATGAAGTACTAACTTTTCACTCCCTCTGAAATTAATAATTGTAGGTTCGAAACAGATATACCAAGTGTTCATTAACTCTTTTATTTTTTATATTTTTGCGTAATCCATAGTTGCATGACCACATTTAAATCCCAAGGAAGCAGAGTTATAAGAAAAATCTAGAAAATCCTTGTGACAGTATTTATTTGACAAAGCCAACTCCTTGCTTCAGGGTATTACTGATAGGATTCCTGATAACACTTCTTCAAAGAAACTCTAAATAAGGTTTTCCAGTGGAAATGTTTAGATTTCCACTTGTGTCAAGAATATCCCTCCTAAGTAAAGTTTCTTAAGAAAATATTCGTCATGTATTAAATTGGCGTGTATTTTAAGTCTAGAAATTTCTGTTAACAAAACTATAAGTTTGTGTTTATTGGAATAACTGATTTTTGTCCTTTTGATAGAACATTCTGGATATTTAAGGAGTATCATAATATGAAGCTCTTTAGTATGTATAGTCCAGCCAGACTAACTAAGACATGTACTTGGAAAATGTGAAGCTTTTATGCATGGGCATGTTAACATGTTCTAAATCAAGTACCTACGCATTATTATTTTATTATTGTCGTCTTTATACCATAAGGAAAGGGTTAGGTTTTTCGCTCCAATCTTCTATGTAAGTACCTAATGCATTATTTATGTTCTGTCGTTGTATACCAATTTATTTTATCGTACAATTTTCATTATTACAACTGATTGATTATTAAGATATGATTTGACATAGTTCACGTTCTAAACTAACCCATTGAACATTACATAAACTTACATAAAAGATGCAATGAAAAATTCCACTGTAACAAAAAAAAACTCATTTTTTAACAAAGTTATCTCAAGAACAGACGTAATTAATTCTGTCGGCGGTTAACTCATATCCGTGGTTAAGTTATTATTCAGTTAAAGCCTCATTAAGCGTCCGAGCGCGTTATGTATAACCGCTGTTAGAATCTTATATAAGACTTGCCGTAGTATGTACGTTGGTATTTATTTACTATGCACGCTTCGCTACAGAGCTCTCATCTCATGCAAATGTTGGTACATGCGTAGTGGTGGCCGGATAATATACGTATATATCTAAATTTACATACATATGTATGTAACTAAAAGTTAAGTTAAGTTATTTCATGGTGCGGAAAGACCGTTCTTTCACTGTTTGCAATGGAAGTTGGTTCCGAGATATTAATGTAATTAGTTACATGTAGATTTTAGTAAACCTTTACTATAGAGGTTTTACTGTAATTTAAGTATTTGGATTTTCCCTTAAGTTTGTTGTGATTATCTATCCTAAAGAATATTAAAGTAAATCATTTTTACACTAATATTCCTGAAAGGTATAGCGTATCTTAAAAAGGTTCGCCTACGATTTTGTAAAAACAAAACAACTTTTTACAAAAGATTTTATTAAAAACACTTTCCTTTTTGAACCTTATTATAATTGATTAGAGTTTATAATTAAACTTTGATGAACTGTAAACAAGGTCATCGTTTGTTAGTCGATTCCAAAAATGATCAACACCCGATATTCTTATAACAACAAAAAACTGATACTAGAAGCTAAAAGGATATTATTTTCAAGGTAATAAAAGCATTGGTAAACAGCCACCGCTCAAGTGACAGTCCTTGGATAGTGTTGCTTAACCTAACGATGTATTCTGAAACCTCATTACATGGTCTAATTTTAACCCTTGTCATTTGGTGTAATACCATCGTAAATATGGAGCTACCGTGAATTATTGATATAGGGAAATTCCGGGTGTTTTAGATGCAAAGGTAGTAAATAAACATTGAAAGTCAAAGTCAAAATAATTTATTTAAAGTAAAAAAATAAAGTGAAGCTATTTGCTCATTCCAAGGTGTACATTCCTAAGTATGAGCAAGGACCTCCATAGAATACTCTTTTTTGATCAGGTTTACAATAAAATCATAAGGACAACAAAATCATACAGTCTGGAATCATTAAATAATGAACCTTTTATTACTTATAAATTGAGGTGATATTTGGTGTAACATCCACTTTCAAGACTTACATAACATAACGCCTTTTATCCTCGAAGGGTTAGGCAGAGGTGCACATTATGCCACTTTACAATGTCACACCCACTTTTCACTATTTATGTTATGAGTCCCATGTAATAGGGGGTGAGCCTGTTTTATACTTATTCTAATAATATAAAATCCATATACCCAGTTTAGTGGCAAAAAATTCTGACGTAGGTGCAAGTTGCAATTACAGCCTCCATGCTTGATTATTTGATTACTAGAAAAACTTCAATAACAAGTCCAGCGATTTACTCAAACGAAATAGAACCACTGTGTGAAATTTTTTAAATAAATATTTGTCGAACCGTACCGAAGGACCACACTATAGCATAAAACCTTATAATATGAACGCATAAAATACCATAAAGCTAACATTTAAGGGTGCTAATAAAAGAGAATATTGTGTTTTAATAGGTTGGTATAGGGTCAATAATTAATTGCTATTATAATCACGGGGTTTAGGGTTTTAATGCCAATAGTTAATAACTTATGGTATTGGGTAGAACCTGCCTTTTCATTTTTGGGTCATGGTTTTCAACGAAAGGCTAAATATATTGCATAGAAAGAAGACAATTTTA